CTGGTGATGTCCTGACATATAGTGGTCATGTTCTTAGGCAAACTTGCATTAGCGTATTTGGAGGATTAAGGAGTTTTTAGATAGGAAATTAGCAACCAATTTACACCCAGACTTTACGACTTGACATTAATTCTGAGAAACAGAATACAGTCGTGCTTTGAGATCGAAGTCAAGGGAATTATTCCGAAAGCGCAGAGATTCACGAGGTTGAAACGAGTTTAGGCTGTAGGAAAAGTTACAGGGAGCCTTGCTAGTTCTACCGGTCCTTCACCCATTGCGGATAAAGTGCGTAAGCTTAAGACCTATTCGTAATGAAAAGTAAAAAAAACAAACAGCCGTCCACCGGGAGGACGAAGACTGAACACCTGTCAGTGGTGTCCTCTACGAACCTGGGAGTGAAATATTCACCCAGAGCCGAGATTCAGTCATGACAAAGGGTGAATTTGAGAGTTTTCGTCGAGTTGGCTTAATTTTGGTCGAAAATCCGACTTGCAGAGTTCTCTCGACTGCACAACTTAACGGAATCAACCATCTACACCCCAGTTACGAACCGCAGAAAGACAACAACCTGTCTGATGTTCGTATTACAACAACCGACACCTTCAATATCTTATTTTTATTTTTCTCTGGAAATCATTCCCGGCCAAACTCATCTCGCGGCCCTCTCCACAATCATCTCACTACCTACCGAAGCAATCCTGTACCTCCAAAAGTCAAATCGCCAACAAAGAAGCAAGAGGATGTCCGATCCTCCGCAACTACCAGTCGCTGTAAAGGTACGGTCGAAATACCGGCCTTAAATTTGTCCTCACCTTGGCCAATGGCACCAACAACTCGACCTGCGACGAATCGCCGCCGACGAAATACGCACGACATTTCGCCGGCACACCAACTAGAGCGTTCGACAAAGGCTGGGGTACCGATGCCTCGGTCTTGAGCTCTCAGTCACGTTTTCGACCTCCACGGTTAGGGGTGCGATAGCGACAGGGCAAGGCCGGACGGGTGGACATTCTACAAAGCTTCTGGGATGACGATGCTGGCATAAGGACAAAGGAATGCTGTATGGGGGAGAAAAAAAGGAATATAAGCTGAGGAGACCTCTCTGGGCGACTGGATGAGGCCTCCAGTGAAGAAAACGACCCCTGGATGAGATGAGGAGATGCTGAGGAGAGCCAAAGCAGGGAATGAATCGAAGGGAAAAGTCACAGATGAAGAAGGTGTCAAGGGCTCGAGCACGTGGTGACCGAGGCTGAAGAGGAATTTGCGCTTCGGCGCGCCAATTGTGGGTTCTCTGGACGGTTGGGCTTGACATGATTCAACACATGGGCGAAGTCTGAGGTAGCCCAGTCATTTAGGTGGGACGAGGTAGATGTACTTAATGGTACTTACCTGATCCAGCCCGGCCCCACCCGTGCTCAAGCTTCAGTAGGAGTGTAACGGTAGTCACTTTATCTAGCACGCTAATGAACAAACCAGACCAGCTGTCCGCCATTCTGCTTTCAAATTTCGATGTAGCAAATTTCCCTCTACAGGAATTTTACATATAATTTACAATTAGTTTAAGCTCACGCTCGTAGACTGTACAACGAGTTAAGATAACACGACGAAGGAAGAGACTGTGAGTCCTTCCATCCGACATTAGTTCACCACAAGATACCTTCTTTCCTAGGGGGGTCCTACTTGGCTTGTTGAACTCCATCGTAGAACTTCGTCTGCTTGACCCATTTTCCGAAGGCAAGGGCGCCCTCGGGCGAGCCGATTATCCATCTGATATCAGGGTGGGGGCGTCGAGGTTCATCGCAAAGAAGGGCACGGTTTCTTCCTATGCTGCAGTAGAAGAAGTGATCTGGGCTTTTTTCTTCGCCACAGTAGAAAGGCATCAGGGCATATTTATGTGCAAAAACGTCGCTGATATTGGGCGAAATCTCCGTGTCCGGAACGAGCCGCAGTTAACGCCCCAAGTGCACGTCGGTTTAAAACTCTCAGTTCTGGCGTTATTCCTATACTAGAGCTAATTCCGTGTTCCTTGTATCTAGTGGGGCCTTCCTGAACCCAGTAGGCGGTGGTGGAAGCGTTGTACAACCAAAAAAAAATTCTTTTTCCTGATGTTATGGATAGAGGTAAGAGTGGCGCAGTCATTAGACAAGCCGACATCGCTAGAACACCAGCTGCTTCATTTCCAGGGATTCCAGAATGTCCAGGGCACCATTTAACACTGACTGCTCCTGTACAAGTACAGGATGCCCGTGTCCTGTTCGTCCATCCAGTTGCTAGCTACCGAAATTTTGCAATTTGGCGAGACCTTGTTGCAGTAGGTGTTAACAAGAACAGTCGAAGAGCCGCTTCTTGGTTATATGGGCAGGTAGTTGCATTGGTTGCGTTGGTTGCGCAAAAGGCCGTGGGATTTTGTATGGCAACTCCTAAACCACCTATTGCTCCAGATACTTCTGCGTCGTTTACTTCTGCTGAAGCACCTAAAGGGATTGTTTCGCAGGACTTGATGAGGCTTAAGTAGGGGACGATCTCTTTGGGAGTGAGATCACGTGATGGTGTATTTTGAATCATTGCCTCGTGGGCCAACTTCAATTTTTTTTGGCATCACATATTAATTGCGTATACAGCTATCTAGCTATGACACAATATCAAAGAATAGTACAGAAATGATGACTCAATTTATAAGAAGAGTACTCATGCCTCAGATTTCATTTGCAAGTACCACTGCGAAGTTGTGGTGGCTTTTTCTTCACCCTAAGTCAACCCTCATCCGTGAATACCCACCCAGGAGAATATCTCAAAAACCCTGAGTTATCCAGACATGACTCCGTCATCCATCAACTTTTCTCCGCGCGAAATATGATCTGAGATGCCTCCTTCCCAAGTGGAGTAGGTGCCCAGGCTACTCAAACCATACCAGAGAACACCACCAGGAGGCGGATCACAACACCTTCTATCGTTGGCTTATATTTATAGTTTAAGCTGCACTCTCGCAAGCAAAGTCTTGGCGCGCACAAAGCTTAATTCGTAAAACTCCTTGCCAAAATTCGGAATCTCACGTCCTTTGAGGTTGTATCCTTCCTTTGCATCATCTTTTCAACTTGTCCTGATCCCTCTCACGCCCATCCCAAAGAACTATCTCCCACATTTGTGCGCCACGCTTTGTGTCTTCTGTCGGGTATAAATACTGGCGTGGGTGTGTATTTGGTGGTCAGCTGAGGCCAGAGAAAGTCGACGAGAGGTATGGACATTGGAATGAGGATGTACTAGGTCGTACTTGTAAACTTGATGAGACTTAGGTAGAAGTCAAACTCGCTGGGAGCTAAAAAACGACGTGGAGGAGTAATTTGAATCATTGCCTCGTGGGCCAACTTCTTTGATATTGCGAAATTTGACTCAACTTGGCTCTGGGAGAATATTTCACTCCTAGGTTCGTAGAGGACACCACGTACAGGTGTTCAGTTTTGCCCTCCAATTGAGGACTCAGATGAGTATGGTAAGAGAGGCATTGTCGAGAATTCGTCAAATGAAGATGTGATTGAGGTTGCTTTTAATTTCGATTCGGATGCGACTCTTCCTAGCTATCCCAGACATACAGAGCATGCTGAGCGATTACACCGGCACCACCGGAAGGTGAAGAATTCGTCTTTGCCGGCTGTAGTGTATAGATCAGTTGTTGTAGAAAGAGGGTTGGGGATCAAGGTGTGGGAAGCTGATTCAAGAGCCCATCATTATTATTATATGACCTTTATTTACGAATCAGACTGTGTTTACCCTATCCGTCCTCTGTTAATTACGGTCATGCTCAGAGATATCCGAGACGTCCATCCAAATTTGTAACACGTCATTGTCATGATTAAGAACGTGCGACTTCTGTGAATTTTTTTTAATTTTTTTTAAATCATTTAAGTGTATTCAGCTATGGAGCTATGACACATGACCGGTGCTATGTATACATGTTGAATGACTCTTTTGGCGTAAGAGACACTCATACTCTGAATTTCATTCGCAAATACCACTATGAGGTATACTTGCTTACACAAACAGTCAACCCTCATCCGTAAGTACCCACCAAAGGGAATTTCGAAACCCTTGGTTATCCAAGCATGCCTTCGTCATCCATGCATACTAGCGCCGCGAGAAATGTGGTTGTGTTTTGCCGGATTTGAACCATTGATCTACTGTCTCAAGTATGATATGTGTCCAAGTTATCCAGACCCTACTTGGCAGACCGGCCAAGGCGATGTACCACCGCACCATCCAACCATGGCGGTGTTTATAGTGTCGCCTGCACTCTCGCAACCGAAAGCTTGGCACGCACAAAGCTCAATTTGTAAAACTCTTGCCAAAATTCCACGCCCGTTGGGATTGTATCCATCCTTCGCTTCATCTTTTGAACTTGTCTTTAATCCTCTCACATCCTTCCCAAAGAACGGTCTCCCAGATTTGTGCGCCACGCTTTGTTTCCTCCGTCGGGTATAAATATCGGCGTGGGCGTGTATTTGGTGACCGGCTGAGGCCAAAGAAAGTCGGCGAGAGGTGTGATCATTGGAATGAGGATGTACTAGGTCGTACTTGTAGACTTAATGAGGCTTAGGTAGGATTCGATCTTTTTTGGAATGAAAATTTGACGTGGTGGAGTTATTTGAATTATTGCCTCGTGGGCCAACTTGTTCGGTATTGCGAAATTTAGCTGAACTTGGCTCTGGGAGAATATTTCACTCCCAGGTTCGTAGAGGGCACCACTCACAGGTGTTCAGTCTTGCCCTCCGACTTCTGTGAATGAGAGTAAAGAGTGGTGATGAAAATATTGGAAAGCTCCACATATCTACAGGGTGGACCTTTTCTAAAATAAGGACATAATTCCTCCAAGATGATGGCGGGCCGAGATGATTAAGGATTTATATACAAGATGTCGCTCAGCCGCAAGCGGCTACCGTTCAGAACTTCTACTTTCCATCATCTAACATCTTTTGCTCAAGCCACTTCTCAGGGCGTTTATCACCATGCGCTATTGTATCATGGCCCTGATTCTTCGGTGCGTCAGCTTCTCTACGGCAAAACTTGAGAGTTATCAGACGCCTCATATACCGGAGGAACTGAAAACCTTTAATTGTGATGGAAAAGTCTATGATTATAATGACATACAATTCAAGAGGGTCTATAGAGCAAGATATAGCGTGTATTATTTAGAGGACAGCGACATGACGAGGTTTGGTGACATAGCCAGAGCGCAAGGCATCAACACAGGAGTCATGTATCACGACGAATCAACGACCACCAAGTATCATTTCTTGAGCTTTTATTTTGCACCTGAATGTGAGCGTCAATTCCCCTACAGCGGCACGCCTCGACTGACAGCCTCCGAAGCAACCGGAGATATGGAGTACTTTTTCGTTTATGATGATCAATCGCGAGCATGTGCCATGATCATCAGATCTACAGGGCGTCCAATTCCTGGTAAATATAGATCGGATTCCAGCGAACAGCCTGCTCCAAAATACAGGTTCTGCCAACTTCAACAACAATTTACTGACTGATAAGCTGAGGAGGTTGTGCAGAAAGATGTTAATTTTACTTGAAATTACCATTTCAAAGGCAGTAATGAACGTTGACACCATGCTTCATAGGAGACTCACGGGAGACGCGCAGAATCAGTCTTCCAAGCTGAGTTTGCGCCTCTGGTACTTTTATTTTCTTCTAGCGTTTGTTGCGTTAATGGAGAGCGCGAGTTAGTCGCAGTTTGACGCGGTCTATTATTTTTAACTCATTTTAATGTCTTGTCTGAGTCTGTGACTATGTAGGATATGCAGGTCCTCTCTGCCTACAGGCCAAGGATACCTATGCCAGTAGTATATACCCTCCCATGCCTCCCATACAGCTCCCCTCAAACAGTACCACCCCTCACAAGTCCTCATTCGATCATACACTTAGAGGAGCCCTTAGCCCTTCATTATCTCCCCTCTCCAGCCAACAAAACGATGGCCGTTTGCGGGTGTATGGCAGCCGGAAAAATTCGCAAAAACCGTTGGGTGCGGGGCTCTTCTATTACCGACATTAGGACTAAATCCGAATACATAGTGACCCTTCTGAAGCATTTGAAGAGGCCGGCCAGCTGGGCGCTGCAGACTTGTGGGTACCTCGGGAAATTCACTTTCTACCTTTCTAGCCTCCTTCCAACTCCTTCTCGAAGGTCGTGCTGAAATGTCAGACATGTCTCGACAGAGCGTGATTGCTGTATAGTAGCTTGGCCCAACAACTTTTGTGCCGTCCAGGGCGCTGGGGAATGTCGTTGACTGATCGAAAATTGAAGTCCTTCTGGCTAATTTACCGAAATCTTGGTCTTGGCGCCCACAAACATTCCAAAATTGAGAACTACTCGAAAATGTCAGTCATATTATGGTCTTCAGAGTCCTGTCCCCCCTCTCGTTCCGCGTCTCAGCCGCCTATCCTTCCTCAAGATCTAAAACCCCATTAGAGCATCAATCCCTCATAAACCAATACCCCAACTTTGTACATTGTAGCTTTTTTCTTCCTTGCGGTTATAGGTAGCGTCGTAAATTTGTAGTGAGTGATGGCCGGTAATGGATGTGGCAAGCTTATATTTGCAATGGAAGTAACGCCTTTATCGGTCGTTGATGCGAGATAATGTGTGGTTAGAAAGAGGTTAAGGACTCAGGTGAAAAAATTTGTGCTGCATAAATGAAAATTAGTCAAATGGAGATGTGCTTGAGGTTGCTTTTGACTTCGATTCGGATGCGATTCTTCTTGGCTATCATAGATATGCAAAGCATACTGAGCAATTACACCGACATCACTGGAAAGTAAAGTATTCATCTTCGCTGATTCGAAATTGACATTGAGGGATTGGCGAACATACCTGTAATTGTTAACTGCTTATCAAACTCGATCTTGTTATTCTCGCACTAGTGTCGCAACTGATCCTTACCACATATCACGTTGTTACAACGATGGCGGAATATTCTTAACACCTATCAGTGTTGTTACCTCCAAAACATCAGCTCTCACTTTAGAGTCTGCAGAGTCGAGTTGAGTAACAAAGTCCTCACTTTGACGAGGTTTCCCAATCGCTTTCGCGGTCTGCATCGTCCTCATTTCTCAACACATCCCCCTATCACCATAATCATGAAGCTAACCACCATCAGATCAGATGGTAGGGTCGGAGCCTTACTCATCACCAAACCTTGACCGTGGAGGAAAATCCATCCGATTAGTTTAGGGAGTGTACCCAGCAGCCGATATGGAGATGGTGGATTGGATGAGATCGAACTCGAATTCCACGAAGATAGAGACTGTGATGGATTCGCGATCATTACGTGGTCCCAGTGTCTAGGCCTCGCCTGGCTGGGGCTGCAGGTTTTTTGAGACGTTTTACGGCGCATGCATTTCCCAAAACTACTATTTTTTTGGTGTAGAGGGTTTTATGACTAAAAATCGAGCTGTATGGCTGTACATTACGGGCAATAATTCACTAACGTTTCAAGTGACAGAAGAGAATAGGTGTGCCTGGGCCGGAGAAGAGCTCGATATGCTACATGGTAGCTGACTCATGTAGTATGATAGACACATCTCTCTCTTTCCTCCCAATACTCGTCAGAATCATTACTCCTATTGTAAACGGTATCTTGTCTCATTGATTTCTAGGCATCTATCATTACCAAATTTATGATACTAGCTATACTCGCGAGGAAACTTGACCACAATATGCTTAGCCAGGTGTCTGCCTCGTGTGTGGTTGTTGCTCCAAAGGGCTTACACAACTTGAGGGAGTACATGCTGTTGGTTTGTGGTCAAAGATGTGAACAGAACTCTTATTTGTGTATCTAGGAGACACTTTGAGGCGATTTGGATTCGAAATGTTGTGGGTGCCACGACCAAGTTTTAAGATTATTAGACAAATGGATTCATCTTGCCGATGAGTCAACGGCGCTGTAGAAGCCGGATTTAGTTAATTTTCAGCAATCGCACTCTATTTAGTTTAATCTGACACTTCAGCGCAAACCAGGGGATTGATTCAGGGGAGACAAAATGTAGCGTGTGAACTTCCAGATGTCGATACAAGTCAGCAGCGTCCAGTTGGCCAACCCCTTGGAATGCTTCAGAAGGGTCAATATGTCTTGGGATTTTGTCCCGTATCCAGTTGTTTTTGCGACTTCCCCCGGCTACCATTTACCCGCAAATAGCTATTGTTTGGAGAGCTGAAATAGGAGATGATGATGGGCAAAGAGATCCTCCAAGTCCACGATCAAATGAGGACTTATGACAGGTCGTGCTATCCGAGTGGAGCTGAATAGGAGGCATAAGTGGGGTTACATAACTAGTTTACATATCCTTGGCCTGTAGACATAGAGGACCTGCATATCTTGTATTGTTTTAAGCCGAGAATTGACAACAATGAAAAAATGTTAACATGGTTATCATGACCCTGAGTAGTGCAACGCGCAACACCTTAGAACATTTCCCTGAAGTTCAGCCTTCTACCCCACCTGATTCCCCATCCCAAAGACCATTGAGCCTCTTGAAATATCTTCCTTACCGATGCACGGGGTATTGTTTGGATTTAAATTGTCTCACTTTTCCAAATGTGATCGTATTTATGTAATGTTTGCTTCTCTCGGATCTGTAGTCGCCCCACTGAATAAACTATATTCAGCTATTTCGCTCGATGTAACGGGTTCGGAAGTTAGATTTCAACATATCTATTTTCACATCCATTATTACAATCCTCGCCCTGTCCCGTGACAGTAATCGGCGAACAGTTTGGCCAAACAAAGACAGCCAGTGCCCACGCAATTCTGAACGCCGCGCAACCTCTAATCGGAGTAAGATCGAGTTTTAACGACAAAGCAAGGCCTCATCTTGTCGCAACTATTTCAAATTAAGATGAACCAATATTCCGCCAGTTTTAGAACAGGAGATGGAGATTTGGTGAGCGAATAAGATTAAAGATATTGCTAAAGGCGGTATGCCATTTGGCGGTAATGAGCCCTACAAAAAGAAACTAAACTTTACGGAAAGATCTATACAGCTGAAAGAATCAAGCGTTGAACGGGGCCGAGAGATCTTCAACGTACCATCTGAATAGAGTATACCCTTGGCGTCGGTATGATCGGCTAATTTGAGAAGCTGGGCCATGGAACCTGGCAGCAGAGTTACAGGGAGCCGACTAAGGCCGGCAGCGACCATGATATGCCGGATGACGAATAACTTGGTGGAAGGAAAAAGTCATGCTAGCCCACGCTGCATGATACATCGATGCCAGTGGTGACCTCGATGTAATAGCCCTAGTCCTTTTTACCAACGTACCGGGCAGGTCAGCCTTTCCTTACGCACTTAGGTAGACGACTCGTCATAAATTAAGACAAACAAAACATAGTTCAAACTCCATATTACGCCATCAACCTCCAATTTATTCCTTTGACCTCTATCTCCGTTTTCCCTTTATCCCTCTTTGAAACCTCAGAAACTCCGTACAATGACAACGGCCACGGGAATTCCAGAGTTCGTTGAGCCTCGGCAGATCACAGAGGACGAGCCGCTGCTAGGGCGGGTTGGTGATGTTGCGCAACCACGAATGGGTTCATTGCTCAAAAATCTCACCTTGGGTGTGTTTTAACCGTCGAGGTTTAAGACAAGATACTAACTTGCCCATCTAGGAACTGCCATGATTGCTCAAGTCGGCGCCATCCTTCTGGTCGCTGCCACCTGGGCAGCCGTGTTCCTCATGGACTTAACCCTTTTCTCAGCCCATCCCCTACTAAACTCCATCGCCATATTATTCCTCCTGCAATCCATCTTGGTTCTCCAACCCACGCATACTCCCGAACAGAAGCGAAACGGCGCAAACGTTCACGCCCTGTTCATCCTATTAGCAATGTTATCTTTGCTCGGGGGTCTCATCGTCATTGAATACAACAAGATCAGAAACGGCGCCGTTCACTTCAAATCAGCACATTCGAAGCTTGGCATAGCTGTGTATGCAATGCTAGTTTTACAGACTCTAGTCGGATTTACTCAATTCTATACACCAATGTTATATGGCAGCGTCGCAAACGCCAAGGTGATCTACAAGTATCACCGGATGAGTGGCTACCTATTACTTGTTCTGCTGCTAGCTTCTTTCGCTACTGCGACCCAGACATATTTCAACCTACATGCTATTCACATCAAGCTTTGGGTAGTACTCGTAACATCTGCATTAATTCTCATTGGTGTCGTGCCGAGGATAAAAAAGCAAAAGTTTGGGTTCTCCTCTTCAAAGTGATCTAGCTTTGATAATTAAGACCAATGTATAATGCGATCATATATCTAGACGGGGACAAAGTAAATAAAAACGAATTATAGCTTGCAAATTCTATGCTAAATATTGTAGCTTGTGCTTTTTCGAATAGTAAATAGTCACCTTATGTTTAAGAACTCGTTATCTTCCTATTAAAATATTGCAGTTAACCAGTTGCAGAAACTTCAAACAGACTGCATCAATAGAGGTGTTAACAAAAATCAAACGTGAACATCATACTTGGCTAATTTAATTTTCCAACATTTTTCGGTTGAACACAAGTGTATTTCATATGTTGCATCTAATTATTACTATAAACTTTTTGTCCTGTCAGTCTATGATTGTGTGAGGACATACAGATACTCTCTCTCTACAGGACAAGGATATGTATCCTGGTTACAGAAATCCACTTAATCATTCAGGTTTCCTCAAACGGTACCACCCCTCACAAGTCTTCACTCGATCATACACTCAGAAGAGCCCGTTGCCCTTTATTATTCCCCATTCCAACTATCCAAACAACAAACAGTTGTGGGAAAATGGCATCCGAGGGAAGTCGTAAAAACGACTGGATACGGGACTAAATGTGAAGACGCAGCCACGCTTCTGAAGTGTTCCAAGGGTCTGGCCAGCTAGGCGCTGCATTCTTATTTACTGCCCCGCATCCATTAGCTTGGGGAATCACGGTGGCTGAGATGTTACAAGCGTAGGCAAAGGACGGTTGGTTACAATCCGTATGGGATTAGGGAACGAACAATTAAACGTGTCACGGTGTGTGTACTATTGGGGTAGTGTTGGCGCATGTGGGATGAATTTTACTAGGTCATCACTTAGCGTTGGCTCGGACTCCCAGACCTAATTGTTCAGAGCCGAATAGTAATTGAGAAAAAAGTGTTCTTCGAGGTCACCAGAGAAGTCATTACTGGTTGGTAGAGGATGGAATTATTTTTGACCCAACGTGATAAGCAGTTTAAGAACGCATGCAGTGGGAGATGTAAGCGGGGGCCTGACTTCATTTGGAGCAGGACTTGCAGGCTTTACATGGAATTGAATTGAACGGATTGAGCTTTCCTAGCTTTAGGTAGACATGTTACCAGTGCATAATCTATAGGCGTATCATCATCAGAGTGATATGTGATACTGATTGGGGCCATTGGGGAGGACTTCCGGCCTGTAGCTAAATAGCTTTGAGAATTCCACATGCGATTAGCCCTTGTAATACAACAACAGATCTTCATTCTTTTGCACTCGCTATGTTATGTGTAATTCAGAAATCTTGAGCGATAAGTCAGTAATTTCTCAGCGAGCATGTCAGTAACATGAATGGTAAGTAACGTACGTAGAGGGGTGAAGAACCATCGGTTCTTTCCAGTCAGGTAACGATCCTCCAAGGCCTTCTTTGCGGTTTTCTTAGCTTCCTCACGTTGCGACACCTCCTTGAACGTGTCGGCACTGATCAAGTTTTTAAGTCCCTCGAGCTCGAGGGTGTAGCGAGTAGGCATTAAATGGTTGTAGTTAATAACCTTGATGAAAGGTTTTACCTTGCTGCGCTTAGTCTGGCGTGCCTTCGACATGCGGCGAGTGACTTGTGAGGGATACCGCTCAATACCGACGACCAGAGCATGAGGATATGGGTGTGATTTGTTTCCGTTGTCTTGAGGTTGGACTATCACGACCTGTTTTGCGATATTAGTCGATATGTTCAAATTTATAGCGAAGGGCGTCTAGAGTCTCATTTTCGCCAAGCTTGAGACCAGTAATCTCATTTTTGGGGAGAGCCTAGTTCGTCAAATGTGTCATCGATGGATGAAGTACCTTTTTTCCCGCGTATCTTCCTCGTGTGATGATTGCAACACGGCTAACCTTTAGGACTATTCGTTGCCTGCGTTAGCATCAAATTTCGTCTAAATCGAAGAGAATTCTCACACTTCATGGCGGCTTAGTCGTTGGAGTGGGTTGTTAGTCGTATTGTCGTCTTCGTTGCTGTTCCGTATTTTGAGCACACTTAGGAATTTTCCAAGTTGTTTGTGGGTGTGGCTAGCGAGGTTGCTGACTCAGACAGTAAATCTTATCTTCAGGCCACCATCTAATGCACCAGCTTACTAATCTTAGAAACTCTATGCTAGTGCCTAGATGAATTACGGACAGAATCAAAAACGGCGTTGGGAAGAGAGCGAGTGAGAACGGTGTTAATTGTTCTACTTGGGTCTTAGACTATCTAGCACATTGGGACCCTCTCTGGCCCAGGCCACACCTTGTACAGTGCTCCTATCCTCTTTTGTTACTTGAAATATCATTGATTTATTGCCCTTGATAAATAGCCATTCAGCTCAGTATTTACCCGTGGAATTTAGCCACCTTTTCCACGGAACCTTCTACTCAATTAAAAAAATGGTAGCAATGAAGATTGCGTGCGCGGGAAAAAGTCCCAAAAAACCTGCAGCCCCAGCCAGGCGAGGCCTAGATACCGGGTCCACATGAGGTGCGCATATTCATCTATATATCCCTTATTTGTAACATTAGAGGCCGAATTGACCCAATACACCATGGCCGTATCGGGTGCTAGGTACGCTCCGGAAACTCGTCGAATGTCTTTTACTCTATGGTCAAGGTCTGGTGATAAAAAGGGCTTCGGCCTTACCATCTGATCTGATCATGGTTAACTTCATGATAATAGTGATAGGGGAATGTGTTGAGAGATGAGGACGATACAGACAGCGAAAACGATTGAAAATCCTCATGGAAGTGAGGATTTTGTTACTCAATCTCGGCTCTGCAAACTCTGCAGACTCTACAGCGAGAGCTGGAGGTTCGTAGGAGACACCACTGACAGTTGTTGAAAATATTCTCCCAACTGCGTTGAAAGAATGCGTGTTAAAGGCACATCCAATTTTTCTGCGTACCAAGGACACCTATGCTCCAGCTAAAGTATATTTTGCACGTCTCTAACTCAGTTATTGATTAAAATTAAAGCAAATTCCAATAATTCATTACATAGTTCACTTAGAAGAGTTATTTGTCCTTTGGCGTATCTACTATAGCTTTCCAAACATCTCAGGGGCATAGCTAGAGAGGTCGAACACACTTAATGGTTTAAAGAAAAAGTAGAATAGACCACTTACCTAGGCTTTACTGGCTTTTTATACTAAATGGTATCACTTTTTACTACACTGGATTTCTTTCGATAATTTCCCACGTTTACTCTTCTTTGAGTGGGCACCCATCATTATGATGCAGATCAACTAGGCTGAGCGTTAGGATTCGGCCGATCCTGCTCCATTTGCCTGCAACGGCTTCTTATAACTGTTGATCTAAACGGCAAGTCTATGAGATATTGTAGTCGCCTCCAAAATCCAAGTGCGAGAAGTGGACGATGGCTAAATGTCTATCATTGGTATCAACTGTAGGCTTGGAGGAAGACTATCAACTTAGAGCCAGGAATTGCTCACGGTAAAAGGTGTAAAGGAAGGCTTTCTGCAGGATTACGATCGGAAGAAATTGCGCTGGCATGTTTCCGTTATACCCTCGAGCTGCAGGGAGTTTATGACTGCATAAACCAACCAGCTCAATCATCTTAACTCAGAGAGATTGCCGCAAAAATACTTTTATTAATCTGAGCTACAAAAAAAATAACTGATGCTGTTCACCGTCGTAATTTTCCTCGGAAAAACTTTGTTGGATAAACTCATCTTGCGATTCTGAATACGTTCATCTCACAACCTGCTGAGGTACCCCGAAAATCCAATCCCAAAAGTCGAAATCTGTACTCAGGATGCAAGAAGTTGTTTAATCCTCTGCAACTGCCGCATATTGTCAATATACGATTGAAGCACCGGCCTTCAATTCATCTATACTTCAACCAAGAGCACCCGAAACTGTATATTTTTTTTGTTGCTTCTAGCTTTACTGCTGGTCATGCAGAGAGCAATAAGCTCTTAGGGTCCATATACCCATATCACGCCTAAAAATATTTTGAGTCCATCTTATCACGTTTAACATATCAAATTCAAATTCTAAAACACCCCAATTTCGACTTATCACCAAATAGGCATGAGATTTTTCCGGTAAATTAATTAGAGAATTAAGCATAAGTCGCAGTATCGGTGCCTCGACCTCCAACTTTGATATGCTTATTTGGTCCCCACAATTAGGGACACCGTTATGAGAGGGCAAGGCTGGAGGGTAGGACAATTTTTGATACATACATCCATATACTTGTGTATATCTACGTAAGAATCGCCGATCGCTATTTTTGGAATTATAAGTAATCACCGATCAGAATAATACGAACCCTTATAGATCACCTAAAGAATACGGATGGTCTCCGATCCGATGTTTGTTAACCACCCTGGGGTCAAAGTTACATGTATGTATGTCCTTCAGCCAAGATAGATACCGCTTTCAAGTTAATTAGAAAGGAGACTGTATCACGGCCAGTTTGCTTTATTTTTATTGTTTTCGTGATAGCCCATTACACTAGGTAGGTAAGATAGTGGAAGCGAAACGGATGAGACCTTTATGAGCGACTAGGCGAAGCCTTCAATCCAGATAATAACCCCTAGAAGAGATGATCAAAGTCTGTGACAAAAGAAAAGTGAAATCAAAGATTGAGAACGTGATGAAGACTCGGATGCGTGCTTTTTATGTCTAAGGGGATATCTGAGTGTTTAGTGCGGGCTCTCTGAAAGGTCGGACTTGACATGATTCAAAACACGGGTGAAGTCTGAAGTAGTCCAGCCATTTAGGTGAGACACGATTCATGTATATGACGGTAGTTAACGTTATATAGCCTAGTCTAGTCTTCCTCAAGCACCAAAATAAGTGCTCATGGTGCTTAGTGCGAAGTAGGTTGATAAATAAACCAAGCCAAAATAAACACTCGGACATGGAAACCAGGTGCTCAAGTAGAACATCCGGAGCTCATGTGCACTTCTGCTTCTACCTTTCTGCAGCAAATATCTCTCAATTTTGATGGTGATCCGCATACGATGCATTTAACACACCCATAAGAGTCAACCTTTCCCGCAGCCCTAAGCTTTTACATTAATACCAAAGTTGGTGTCAAGTATGAGCTCTAAAGTTTGATGATTGTGGAGGTAAAGTTCTTATTCTTTGCAGGGAGGAGATCATAGACGGTTTAGTTAAACAAAATAATTTCTATTTATTTCTAAATTTTCACACGTTCATCATCTTTCTCGGCTACTATTCGTCCACCGTATTCTATTTTCGGTTTCAGACAAGGTTTAGCTCAAGCTAATTCCAATCTTCTGTTGGGGTTTATCCTAAGGGGGGAAAGATGGAGCTTTGTCGAGTAGATGTGTTCTCTTAAGGAGAGAATGACGTGTCACGGATATGGGATAAATGATGGAAAATTACAAGACGGAAGAGGGCCAGGGATACGGTCATTGCGCGTGAGCAATACTAACATCGATTTTCACTACGAACTTTCAAGGGCATTATTCTCCAACAACCTCGACCAATGAAATTTCGGTGTACAAAAGTTTGCCCGCGAGGACTTGATTGAACTTTCCATATCAAATCAATCTTTCACCCCAAAGTTCGATTCTAAATGTAGCCTCTTAAAGTTTGCAAGTATGACTTGTACGTCCTTCATTCCCCGACAAAAATTCATTTGAATCAGTCTTTGGCCTCAGCTAGCCTACAGGTACACGCCAACGACAATACAAATGCTTGCAGGAGGATATTATTTCAGCACAAGGATATAGCGAGGTTGATTTCTTAGATTGTTATGAGAATATCAGTGTATGCGGGCAAGATGATTTTATAGACAATTACAATCACAAAAGAGGGATGTCTTGTGAAAAAAGAATTTTACAATTTGAAAAGCATTGTGTGCGCAAACTCTTGGCTGGCGAGAGTATAGACGACACTGCAAACATAGAATATCGGAGTGGTGTAGTGGTGTATTATCTGGGCTGGTCAATCAAGTGAAGTGAAGGTAGTATGTTCACCAACTTCATTTGACACGAGATGATGCTAGTCTGGATGTAGCAAAGCTATACTATATTACTCGCAACGCCAGTATGCAGCTCAAAAATGCAGATTTGAGGGAGACAAATGCCAAAACCTATCAGCGGTATTCCCTAAGAACCTCCAGCTCTCACTGCAGAGTCTGCAGAGCCGAGATTGAATAACACCTTTTCAACTTTGGGCTGAGTTATCTCCCCTTCCGTCAAAGATACACTTCCGATAACACATAAGACGACCAAGGCAATGATAATGATCCAGGGAATGAGGAAAGATAACGCAGTACCAAACGCTACAACGATAGGTCGGGAAGCTCTCGCTATATCACAACATGTGCTACCCACCGGCGGGCAAACAAAAGGCTCATAAAAGCAAAGAAAAAGACCCTTCCGCCTTCAAGAAAAGTAGATTCCCACTCGTCAACAATATCCTCTCTTATAATCCTTAATTTAGCATCTACGAACCAGTAGGGCATCTGAAATACATGAGTTACCCGAAGACCCCACGTCCGTAACGACTTTTGGATGCTAGGCTAGGCTCTGTCGCGGCAGTCACACTCGACCAAGACTTTTCTGACACCTTTTCGCGACCTTCGCTTTATCCTGCGGTATAAATCAGGGAAATATGAAGATTGAGAGACGCTCTTAGGTATACACAAGTCTGCTGCGCCCGGCTGGCTAGCCCCTTCGTCATAGGAGAGCCCGCGCCCAGTGGTTTTTGAGACTTTTCCCTGCAGCTACAAACCCGTAGATTGCCGTGGTTTCGCTGGTTGTAGAGGAGATATGGAGAATGTTGGAAATAGAAAAACGGAGTGTTCTGGACATACGGGCCCTCCATTTCGTCTAGATTCCCGACACGATCTCGTGTGTATTTAAGAGTTTGGAATGGATAATATGGTAGCGCTTCAGACTACCTATTGGATATATGAGCGGCTGTATGGCGTGG